TATTAGTTTCAGGCAGATTTTGAATAACGGTCTTGTGTAAACGTCTACGGCAGGGTATGGAAAAGTGGAGAAGGTCGTTTGCGTTACAGGTCTGTTCTGTGATGTATCAGGCATTTTTGAGGTCATGTTAGGTGTCTTGGACACAGAAAAGTGTAAACAGGTCAGGGCTTTTGGTGAGGTTATGAGTGAGCCTAAGGATATATAATGCATCATAGTATTTATGTTAATCTTCAAAGGTAAAAAGCAAGTAATTATATGGATAAGAAAAATAATAATGATTAGTGTTTGCTATGGAAGATCTGTTTTATAGGAGGCAAGTCTAAGATTGCGATGTAGTATACTGTTGAGCTTATAAAAACTTTTATAAATGTTAGGAGAGCAAACTACTAAGGCATAAGTTATATGTGGAAGTAATAAAGACTGAAATATCTGTATAATGGACTCTAGTAGTGAGAAATCACATGCAGTTCATTCTATGAATCCCAGGAGCTTAAAGCGTTTAGAGAAGACTTATCTGGTATATTATTTGAAGGACCAAGGGAAATCAAGAGTTACACCCGGATCAGAGAGAGACTCCACTCATTTCAATTCACTGCCATTAATCGAGTAATTGTAAAATGATGTCTTTCAGCTAGTGTTAATCGATAGCATCCTGCACTTATTCTCATGGACCGTGAATCTGCTGTCAAAGTACAACAGGCCCACATTAGAAGGATCTGACTGTATGATTAGAAAATCTGTATGTAATGAAAAGTGTTTACAAATTTTAATGTCGTCTGCATGGTTCAAAAAAAATAACTTAGGGGAGAGTGCAGAAGGAGGGCCTTAGCCATATCCAGGAAGATTATGTCAACTTGCTTACCTATTTTAGAAAAAGATAAGACATAGTGGCTTAGTGTTAGCAGGCTTAAAACTGTAGAGCGGCTAGTTGTGGATTTATAGATTTGTGTACGGAAAATATGTAGGACGGTTTCCAAGCAATTGGGAAGACGCCCTCATCAAGAGATGTAGTGAAAAGAAGTACTAGAGGATGACAAAGTCCTGAAAAACAGTTAATAATAAAGGAGGATGGGAGTAAGTCTGGGCCAGGATAATTAGAATTTTTGAATTGTGTGATAGCCGTAAGAGTAGTTGACAGGAAAAAAGTGAGACCTATGTCTAAGCAGCACTAAGTAGTCAGGGCCTGGATAGAGGTGAGCTGCTTGTATAAAGAAGAAAAGTGGTGAGCGAGCAAAATGTACTCATCAAGAGTAGTGAAATCAAGGACCACGTTTAAGCTTAGCACATCTAAAAGCTTATTGCATTTTGAGCAAGTTTTGATAAAGTTCCCAAAATTCCGAATATCAGTCCTCAGCCCTAACTTTAACCTAGCAATGAATCCTTTGTATGACGTTCTTGAAAGTCTTAAGCATTCAGCTCTGAGTCTCTTAAGGATAGTGTAAAATAACTGAACGCGGTCATCAGTGGATTTATCGTAAAATAATTGTAACTAAAGAACTGTAAGATTTAGCACAAATGATTTGGTAATCGCAATTCTTAAGGTCTCTGTAGCTTGGATGAAGGCTGGTTGGAGACTCGCAGCGAGCAAAATTAATGTGGAACGTGCTAGGTGAGTGATGCAGGTCAGATGGTATGAGTGATTTAATAACTTTGGTAGCAGTAACGTGACCATCAGGTGCAAACAGAAGTTCCAATGTATGGTCATAACTAGGAATGGGCTTAAAAATTTATTGGAGGTTAAGAGAATTGCAGTTATTAAGGAGTCTAATGGCAGCTTGATGTCAGTACAGTGTTTTATAACCTGTTGTGTGAAGAGAAAGCGGAAAATTAGTCCAAGAACGTTTAGCTAAATTAAAGTCAGCACATAATAAAAAATTGTAGGAGGAGTTTAAATTAAAGAGCGATCTAATATGGTTACAATGTTCAGAGTATGCTGATAGTGCAGAGCTAGGTGAGATATAAACTGCTATTAAAATAAATTTCATTGCAGCACCCTGTAGTTGTACTATCACATACTTAATATTCATTTCTAGGAATAAACGGTTTCATGAAATGCTTCTGTCTATTACAACCTAGTCACCACTACCACGTCTATGACTTGTTTAACTATTTGTCTGTTCTGTCTATAGATGTTATAATTGAGTAATGGGAACTCTGTGTTTAAAGTATGTTGTTTCAGCTATGTTTCTGTAAAAATTTTAATGCCTAGAGTTAAAAAAAGCAAGGGTAAATTGAATTCCATTGTAGAGAGTTTGTTGTATAGAGATCTGACACTTTGGTAATAAGCTAGTATCTTGACATTGTCAGTACTATTAAGGGCTTGTGTTTGCATAAAAGGACTGTTGATCATCAATAATGGTTGGAGTACCTCTGACATATTCTAGTTTCTCCTTAATGGCAGAGTTAGTTGAATTATGACGTTGAACTTCATCCACCAGCTGAGAGAGGTGCGCTCGCTGTGCTTTGGTTTTATCAGAGGAAGCACTAATACCCTTTGGCGACTTAAAGCGTTGCGGGATCAAATGCATAACCTTTTTTTTTGCTGCATAAAGAGACAAGCAGAAGCCTAGATTTAGCTGCAGAGGTAAATTGGCTTAGACAAACTAACTGGTAAATTTTGGTGATTTCGATAGTTGACAGCATATTTCTTGCAGACAACTTACTCTCTGTATTCCGACTAGACCCAGATGATGATTTAAGAACATTGTAAAGAATGATGTTTGAAGACATCTGAAGCCTATCCTCCATTTCCATTACAAAGCTATCTAGAGCTGCTTCATTAGAAAGAGAAGAGTGACCCTCAACTGCGGCAAGTCTGTCTTTGACCTCTTTTAGAGTCTGAGGAGAAAGGTTCTATATTATTGCAGTATTATTATTCTAAGATCTTAAGCCTTCTATTTATGTCCAACATGGAGGCTCGTAAAGATTGTAGCGTTTTCATGCTTTCATCTAATTTATCCACCTGAGTCTTAATAGAGGTGCGACTTTGTGTGCATGGCTGATGTCTGCAGAAAAAGATTAATTGTTTATAGCGGTAGGGAGTCTTTGGGAGTCCGAACGCTGCTTTTTTAACTGCTGAACAACTGAAGGTGAAACGTCAGGGGGCAAATAGATATCCCTGCAGTAACGATATATTCCCTGAATTTTGGATGCAGAACAAACCACACAAGAAGCGTGAAATTCCCTGTCTCAGTTATGACAGCAAAACCTACTGCTCACAGACGTTTTACAGTAGCCACAATCATTGAGGCTCATGTGTCAGGTAACAACACAAAAAATAGTTTGAGGTTACGCGTGGACACTGCAGTTTGAGCACCGAAGCCAGTTTAAAGTACAAAAGCACTACTAACCCAGAGGCAAAAAAAAGTTTTAGCACACTATAAACACCATGAGACAATTAACAGAATTAGGATATAAAAATTATTAGCACAAAATAACACAACATAGTAAAGCATACGATACACATTAACTTACCTATCGTTACAAATTAATAATAAGTCAAGACATCTGTGTTATGCTCTGCAATATTACTTGTATAATAATTAATACTACAAGTACTATTTGTTATTAGGATAAGAGTGTTTTATTATTAATAAGCATTATTATTGTTTACTGCTAACTTTTGGCAACGAGCCTAAGAATAAAAGTTCATACAAGAGTTATATTAAAAAAAAATGCTTACCCTTTATACATTTACGGTTAAAGCGATATTACTTAAATAAACAGGTTTTGTACTAAAGCTTCTGAGTAAAACAATAGAATAGTTACATATCTCTGGCTATAGATTATAGATGTGTGATAATATCATTACTGAAATTTTAGGTCAATTGTATAAGATCAATGTCAGCTAATATTAGAAACCTAATAATTTATCTTAGATACAGCCTAAAACGTTTTTTGTGTTAATATATAATAATATACAATAAGTAAAACAGAGCATCCTAAAGATTTTTGTGTATTTACCACTATTGAAATTTATAGTTGCGTTATTATCAAAAAATTCATCAGTTACCTTAGAAGTAACGTCATTACTATGTTTTACTTTTAAATATTCGTATTACTTAACTGTTAGACGATTTATGTTAAGAAAAATGGTTTTTACAAGACTAACTGTACAGATGTTTGAGCAAAAAAGCCATCGTTTGTTTACTGCACATGGTATAAAGTTGATGGGTATCCTTTGTAAGTTTGGTATAGTATGGCTACTCAAGAATCTTTGAAGAACATTTGAGTGAAAAAGCTTTTCATTGTTTAAATTCATTTTGATCGGTTAAAAAATTGTGTGATCGTAATTATTAGAGTAATCATTTTTTATTTTTTGATAAATGGCTGTTGGTAACCATTCAATACACTGATGGTCTTTTAATTCGTTGTTTTTAAGTGCTCTTTAAATTGTTCGTAGGAAATCTAAGTTTTTCAAAGGTTGCAAATGAAACAAAAATGAAAAGTGAAACTATTACTATTGATATCAAATTTTAAAAACTCTTATCAGGAAATAGTAACGATTCAACCTCATGAAAATAGTTTCTACTGAAAATATTCAGTCTTTTTTCATGTTAACAAAATAGTAGTGCAAGAAAAAAACTTTAAGACTTAAAAATCTTGCAAAGTATTTTCATTCATTAGAAAATATTCATCGAAACAAATTTAAAATTTATGATTTTAATTAGAGAACAAACCCTTAAATTGAGTTTTCAATCAATCATAAAGAAGGATTATAATTGTAGCAGTATCACGTAAATTTATCTCAAAAGCAATTTAGTTACCTAATTTTTTGGTAGAATGATAGTTTTCCGTAAAATTATTAAAACTTAAGTATAAAAATTACTATTTCTATCATGATTTAGTTTTTAAAATCAAGCACAGTTTGGCAGTTTTATTTTCAGTGGATACAGAAAAATCTTAGTTTTAGTATAAACATTCATATGTGTGTGAATATATTCTTAAGTAATAAGTGTAAAAAAACTGGCTAACAAATCCTTAAAAATTTTTTGTTTCAGAAAGAAAAGTTTGTGAAACTGTTAGATCAACTTCATAATTCGCTACGAATTGATTTATGCATGTATCGCAATAACTTTCCTGCATCTAGTCAAGAAAAGTTAATGGATTTGAAATCAACGGTCGATCTTCTCACTAGTATAACATTCTTCAGAATGAAAGTTCAAGAATTAACCTCTCCACCCCGTGCCAGTAATGTTGTCAAAGACTGTGTGATAGCGTGTTTAAAATCCACATATCAATTTCTTTTTCAAAATTGTTATGATCTATATAGTCGAGAGTTCCAAGTGGATCCTAGTGAAGCTCGACGAGAAGAAGAAAACTCTTCGGCTTCTCTAGATTTCTGGCACAAGCTTATAGCTCTAATTGTTTCAGTGATTGAAGAAGATAGAAATAGTTATGCACCCGTACTTAATCAATTTCCGCAAGAACTTAATATAGGACAACTATCGGCAGCCACAGTTTGGTCTCTTTTTGCTATAGATGTAAAAGATGCTTTAGATGAACATGAACAGAGTCGATCTTGTAAATCATCTGCTTATATGAATCTCCATTTTAAAGTCAAATGGTTGTATACAAATTATGTACTAGATGTACCTCCATATAAAGGTCAAGTGCCTGAATATCCTGCATGGTTTGAACCTTTTGTTATGCAATGGCTAAATGAAAATGATGATGTTTCATTAGAATACTTACATGGTGCCTTTAGTAGGGACAAAAAAGATGGGGTAAGTTAATTGTGAAGACAATAAATAAATTTTTTTTAAATTATAGTTTAAATGCTTAAGAATGTATCATTGGTTTTTAAGCAACTAGTTTATAACATAGTTTTTATGAACTTAGTTGTTAAAAATCATTAAATTACTGTTATACCTGGACCTGAGATTTTTTTTCTAAGAGAAGTTGTGAAAATCTAAAAAAATTATTCATTATACAGAATCTTCTTCAAAATTAAAAAACAACATTTCATATTATGTGAATACTTGCTTCATTGGTTTATTTAACGTCTTATAAAAAAATGAAAATTTTTTCTTTGATTCCTTGCGTTTCTCCCTACTTTTGAAAGTGTTCTTACAATTAAAAAATATTAAAATTAGTTGTTATTTAATAAGTAACAAAAGACAATAGTTTTGGTGTGCAGTATTAAGTGCTAACATATCAATTTATTAAGCGTGAGTTCTTTTTAAAATTTAAAGTCTACTATTTGATATTAAATTGATGATAGTACAACTACCTACTATATAACTATACTTATTACACTTTAAATGACAATATTTAATGTGAACAGATTAGACTCCATTTAGAAGCATAAGCAATAAGTCCAAATAAATATGCAAATATGTGCCTCAAAAAAGGAAACCAAAATGTTTGTCAATCAATTTGTGAAAAAATACTGCCTTCTATTACGGCATTGTACCAAAAACTTTTTCTTTCTTAGAAAGCGACTACTGTTGACTAGTCAATAAGTTAAATAATTATTAAATAATGATCATAAAAATACCACTATCAGTTATTCGCAATGCAAAACAAATAGCCTAGCTCACGCAGCCTTTTGTTTTTATAAGCATACGGTTGTCTTATATCTTTGAATCAAAAATACGCTTTATAAAGAATTATTTTAAGTAATTAAATCATTTTTCAATAACTGAAGTTTGTTCGTTTTTGTTAAAAAATGTTTTGGACATCTTTCTTGCAAAGGTAACAGTTATTTTTCTTTGATGTCTTGGCAAACATTTCACGATACCACCTCTTCTGTCTAGCTTTAATAAAGTCTTTAGTGCACTGATCGAAAGATTTCATCCACTGCAAAATTGCTGACATCAAATTTTATTGCTCCAAAACTAGCATGCAAAAACCAACTTTCTTTATTACATTGTTTGACTTACTAATAAATGAGATAAAAAAACTTACCTAACACTATAAATCTCGTTAACATTTCTAAAAGCAAGAAACTAGCTGCTGCATCTTTATCTGAAGTAATAGTCACGTAAGCCATCACAAGTGTTTGCTAAAACGGATTAATGCTTGAAATCTTACACGATTTTCTGACTTTAAACATAAATCTTTTGTAAATAATATCTGCCATTTAGCAAAATAAAACCATCACTGATGACAACCAAGAACTGAGTCAATTGTTAATAAGTGACATGAAAATAACTGAAGATTTTTTAAAATTAGATCTCAACACCTTATTTAACCCATACATGAGAGCATCAAAGTTTATCAACGCTAATAGAACATATCACAAATCTCCATTTCCATAAGACAATAATGCAATCAAATTGACTAAAACTTAAATCACTAACACCTCAAGCACTAGTGCAATATCCAAAATAAAAGATATAATCGGAACACCTAAAAATCACAACTTCATCAATTTTACAAACAACAATCACTCCAATTTTTATAAAACACCTATCTTCAGCACCCTATTCCAAACTATAAACAGCTTTAATGACATAAATAACTAAACTTTCAAACCCATCCAAAATATTTATACAAATGAGGCAATCAAAATAATTTCTATCTTCAACGGGTTAAACATTCCATTCTCAACCTTTTTTGTCGGCATTAAAGGAGCATACCACGTACTCCCAAGAACAAAAGTGCCCAATTTCGCAAAATCAATTAAAACTTAATTTCTAAGAAAAGTAACACTCTCCACCAAAAATAAAATCTTTGACACCATCGAAAAAATGTCAACAATTTTCATAAACGTTTTCGCATCCACAAAAACATGGCATGAAATATGGGTTAACTAACAGCGTTAAAACGAAGAAAAAAAAGAAAGCGTTATCTTTTTTTTTTTATAAAGTTAAAGGCACCAACTAAAAACCAAATGAAGCAACTCTTCAGGATGGTTAAATATATCAGCAATTCTATACAAAACTAGAACAGGACAAAGTAAAATACTTTATCAGAGAGCTTCACTGGGTAGTAAAAAGACGAATAGGCCACGTGGTCAACTTCTCAACTGCCACAACTCAAGCCATTAAAATCAAAAGAGAGTTTGCATGATACGAACCCAAACATTTACAGGAAACAGTAAAGATCATAAATAATAGACAAAGTCAGGATGCATAAATCAATTAAATCAAAAGTCTAGAAAAATTAAAAAAAAATTTATTGAGGACGACGGCACAGAGCAGGCAATTTCTGGTATTGCTAGAATACTAGTAAAGCTGACCAATACCAAGCCACGCCCATGTACAATGGTACACTATAAACATCCAGACGCCATCCAAGCCACTTCCCTATACCATTATATACTGTCACCAAAAAAGGGCGTGTCATGATGTAAATTATCACATTACTGTCTTGCCCTACACATCAACCCAACAACTGTACCAAACCAGTACACCCGGCAACAATGCTTAAACTTAATTAATGATGATCACAATATTGAAAAAACATAGAACTACTGCAAAAAATTAATGCACTGGAGAAGTAAATGTAATAAAAAGCTTACGACGATAGTTTTAAGCAAAAGGTGCCGAGGAACGACTCAGGTTTCTTCTACAGGAGAAGCTTGGGAGAAACCAGCAATGCAACACTAACATCTTCTCAAAACACACCAATGAATACTTAACAAAATTATCGTACTAAATATCGAAGCACAAACACCTTCAGTAACAATCGAATTCAGTGAAATCAAATGGTTTTTGTTGTTTGTTCTCAACATTGATGCAGAGATGTAACTCATTAAGGGATTTATTATTCAGCCTAACAAGAAAATTTTCTAGGATACTATTCTGCATTCAAAAGGCATAACAAATGGCAAAAATCTAGAACAGCATGAAAACTACGTCGCATACACAAACATTCCATACATCTTTTTATACGTTGAAGAAGCAGAAAACTCTAACTCTTAATCTCTGGAAAGTGCGAAATCCGAACTTAGTAGTGCGAAAACTTTTGAACTATAAAATATCTCTGAAATCAGAAACTATAAAACAAAAAAAAATCATTACAAACGCTGGAATTCAGAATCGTTAGACAAAACATTATTTTACGAACGCCGAAATCTGGAATTGAGATACAAAAATTTATGTAACAAACTCCGAAATTCGTATAATCAGAGCATAGACAACCATGACACAAGAATTTTTAACTTCAAATTCAACAATATACAAGTATCCGTATTCCGAAGTCAAAAAGACTTGAACTCTAAAAGAAAATATTGTAAGACCGCTAATTATTTGCAAAATAGACAAGATTAAAATAATATCTATAATCTGTCTAGAAAACTATTTAAAACCTTATATGTGCAAGATTATAATACAAATAAAAGCAACAAGAAAAACAAACTGCTTGAAAGCTTTAAAAGCTTAGAGAAATCACTTATTTATGAAAATCAAGACAACTACACTTAATACTCAAACCTATCTCAGACAGACATAAGATGCCTTAATGTGTGATCTACGGTTTATATGTTTGCAAAGATGCTGTTTGAAATTCAAAACAGATGCATTAATATGCTTAGTACTCATAGATGCTTTAATTCCAAACATTCGAGGAGCTGTTTTTTTTCGAGAATGTATGTATTCATTCCCAAAAATTTTATAAACATTAAAAAATAATCATTTAATTTTGAGAAGAACTAATAAAAGCCAATTGAGTCTCACAGCCAGAAAAATATGAATTTTTCAAATAAGAAACAAATTACAAAGTTTGTAGAAAAAGACTGAAACCCCACCTATAAAGATAGAGGCAGTTAAAGAGTTTCACCGTAGATTTACATGAGACTTTGTAAAAATACAAGAACCCTTGAGTACGCGACTAAAATAGTATCAGGAGTTCTCGTGGAACAGAAGAACATAAGCAAAATTTAAAATCATGAGATATGAAATATGCTCACCTCCTATTTCCAGTTGCAAACCAAGTGAAATTCCCTGACCACCCATCAAAAAGCTTATAAAATTCGATAGTAAGACCGTAATAATAGCACAAAAAAAAATTTTTTCATACCCTATTCTTATGCAAATCATCCAGTTTGGGAGAGCACAGAAAAATGGTACACAGGCTAGCCCACCCATCTCAATCACACAAGGAAATAAAATAATTTCTTTTAGAAAAAAAATCCATATGAGAAAAGACAACTACGTTTACTTCACTGACAACCTTGGTCAACCATTAGATGACAAGGCACAAAATATGCGCATAGTAACCAAATTACCCCGCTTCAAAAAATTAATCATCGGTCCACCTCAATTAATTCAAAATAACAATAATTTTGACATAGTTTAACCCATTAGAGGTAAAGATAGAAAAAGTATAACAAATATTACAACAGCACTAAATGAGTTTGTTTTAAATATTAACAAAATATTAACAGAAAAAAATATATCGTGAGTCAGTATGGCTAGAACCACTCAATTTAAAGATGTTCCGAAAGATATTGCAGATGTTACAAAAACACAGTACACGAACAAAAATAATAGCTTGTCGGGAAATAATACAACATCTACGTCGATAAAACAAAAAAATTATTAAAGAAATGCATAACTACACTATAGAAGGACACAAAAAAATTAATAAAACTTATAATAAACTAAAGCATACATACTATTGAGAACATCAGAAGAAGGACATTTAATTTTACGTACAGAAATGGCTTGAATGCCCACTAAAAAAATTAGTACGCTTAAAAACTAAACAAGAACTGATTATCATTGACACACCTGCCAAATCTTTAGAAAAACTTGCTCTAGGCATGATGAGTCTGTTG